AATTATTGTATAGGAAAAAAGGAATTTGCAAAAGGAATTTTTTTAATTAATATTTTTAGGAAAAATATTAATATTTCTTTTTCTACTCCTGCCTAACCCAGACCTAACCTATTGATAGCCTTAAATTACCCCCCCTCCCAATCCACTTAGATTTTAGCCACCCTCATAAAAAAATTCCTAGCTCCGCCCTTGCCTAGCACATACCTAACCTATTGATAGCCCTAAATTATTAGGCTTGGGGAGAAAAAGAAATAATTTGTTAGTAAAATAAATTATTAACTAATTGAATAATTTAGTAAATTAAATAAATAGAAATCTATGGATAATAATTTACTTAATTTTGTAAAATAAATAAATTATTTATTATAATAAAATAAATAAGTAACTATTCATTTATTATTGGGACATGACTGGTCCAAGTTATCTAGAACCAAACTCGACACATTAACAACCCTAAATATTAGGCGCATGTTGAATTAAATAAATAAAAATTATGGATAATAATATATTTAATTTAATAAAATAAAACAATAAATAAATAATTAAAATGTTTACTTTTGAAGTCAATTTAATATAAACAAATAATTTTTGCTGTTAAATAAAGAATACAAATCTTTTTTTCTCAATTTCTTGGTCGAGTTTCAGCCTTTATATGGGAGTCAGGATTGGGCTCAAGATCTAAGCTTGATGGTCCGATCATGCTCAAACTTGGACTTGAATATGTTTGATATAAAGGCAAAAGTCACATCCCGACATGACTTATGAATAGGGCTGTTCATAAGAATGCCCAACCCGACCAAACCGACCAACCCGGACCGACCCAACCCGAGTCGGCTGGGTTTTCATTCGTACTGGTCGGTTTCGGGTTAGGCACATACAAAAACCGATATCTCGGGTCGGTTTCGGTTTTCACATAAGAAAACCGAAACCGACCTGACCCGAACCGAACTAGTCTTTCTTCTACTAGTTTGGTAGTTCCTACTTCCTAGTTTGAGTAGTTTCCTAATTCCTACTAGTCTTCTAGACTTCTACTAGAAATAGAAGGCCCATTAGGCAATTACAATTAGAATTCCTACTAGAACTAGAAGGTCCATTAGGCAATTACAATTAGAATTCCTAGTTTCCTACTAGTCTTCTAATTCCACTTTTGTCTTCTCTTAAAATCTTCTATTCTCTAACTTAACTTGGTTGGTCCGCCCCCCTCAACTCAAGTCCTCAATTAATTCAGAGTTTATTCGGCTTTGTACAGGAGCAAAACCGAAACCGACCGAAACCGACCCAACCCGACTCAAACCGACTAGGTCGGTTTGGCCTATCAATGGGTCGGTTTTGGTTCCCACCTCTGGTAACCCGACTAGGTCGGGTCGGTTGGGAAAATCCCATGAAACCGACCCAACCCGACCTGTGAACACCCCAACCTATGAATATGTTTAATCCCAACCCCAGGGGTGGAGCCAAGGGGACCGAAGGAAGCCATGGCCCCTCATTCCACTTACATTTTGGCCCCCTTTATAAATATTGGGCTCAAACCTACCTATTGATAGCCCTAAATATAGGACTATCAATGGGTTGGGTCTGGGTCAGAATCAATTGGAATTGAAACCGACCCAACATGAAATGTTGAGGACCCGGATATGGACCTGGACCCGATAGGGTTGTAATTTTTGCACTAGAACCGAACCGACTAGTTCTCGAGACAATTAGGTCAGACTCGATAGACCTAGTAATAATAAATAAAAAATAAATATTTATGTATAATATATATTAAATATTCTATATATATTATATGTATAGTATATATAATTTATTTATTTAATATTATATATATATATATATTCCAAATCGATAGTAATCGAGACCCTATATCAGGACCCAGAATCGACTTATTGGTTCCAGTTCCCGAAACTAGAACTAGCCCAATCGGTTCGGGTCCATTAGGTCGGGCCCAACCCATTAACAACCCTACCTAAATATTGGGCTCAAGAGGAGAGAATAATTTGTTAGTAAATTATTTTCTAAATAAATAAATAATTTAGTAAAATAAATAAATGTCTATTAAAATCTCTCTCTCAATGTAAAATCTATTTTATTTTATTGATATATAAATAATTTATTTAATTTTATTAAATAAATGAATGCTTAGATGATGATGATAATAATAATTTAATAAAATAAATAAATAAATGTCTATTCAATGTCAAATCTTTCTCTCATCCACAACTACCGATGTTTATTAAAATCTTTCTCTAAATGTCAAATCTCTTTTACTTTATTGATTTATAAATATTTTATTTAATTTTATTAAATAAATAAATGCTTAGATAATAATAGAAAAATGAATGAATAAATAAAAGTTGAGATAAAGATTAGGAGGAGAGAGAATTAAGCATGAGAGAAGAAAGATGGCATTTTATTATGTAGGATTGCATAATCATAAATAATTATATATGGCATTGCTGTAATTTTCGAATATCATAGAGGCATTGTTATAAAAAGAGTAAATTTATCTTATATGTGGCATTTCTGTAAATTTTGAATGCCTTAAAGTCAATTAAATTTGAAGATTTGTCTTATATATGATAGTCTTATAATTTTCGAATTCTATAGAGGCAATTACAAGTTGGAAGGTTTGTCTTATATGTCATAGTCATGTAATTTTCGAATAACATAAGGGCAATTACAAGTCAATAACATAAGGGCAATTACAAGTCAATCACATAAGGAGGTTTGTCTTTATGTGGCATTCTTATAATTTCTAAGGAAAAAAGGCAAAGTTATTGTTAGATTCCATTTCTTGCATCCTCAAACTTTCATTTGTACACATTTCAACTTAAAATATTTATAGCTAAAATGGTCATTGCCTTATTTACTTGGGAAATAAAAGAACATGGGTAAATGCACTTAACCCGGTAAGTCTTTTTTGATAAACACTTACCTGAATAAATGCATTTACCCAGATAAATAACTTATCAAAAAACGAACACCCCCTAAGAGTCCGTTCAGTTTGCATTTAGATAAGAAATAGGGTTTACTGGAAATCTCATTCCAAGGCACCGAGTGGGGGGGTTATGATGGCCATTCCCTCAAATGTGAGAATGCATTCCACCAAGAATGAAAATCAAAATCCCTTGGTTATATATATATATATATATCAAAATCCCACTGCCAAACCAAACAGCTCTGCCATTCCAATTCCAATTCAAAACCTTTATTCCCACAAACCAACCATACCCTAAATGAATGCTGTCAAACTCGAACAAAACGTAAAACTATTTTAGTTACTAAGTCAAATGATGGTCAATGAAATAATAAAATATTAAAAAGAGTAAATGCTTCCGTATCATCCTTTAAAGTTAATTTATATCAGAATAAAATAAGATTGTAAAGACCAGTTAACACATGTATTTAGGGAAATTTGACCAATTCAAACATTATCTTTTTGGCCGCAGAATCCAGTCAATCAGAATCTGACGTCATTGCATTCTACCACCACCTCCACCTGGCCCAAAGATTGGCTTTGACATGTATTTCTTCTTCATGTTCCCTCTTTTTCCTGCTGTTTGTTCTAATTAGTTTGGACTCATTTGAACACCGGCAAAAAGAAAATTACTAATGCTTTCCAGTGAGATCAAAATAATGCAAAGATGGCTACAACTAAAAGACGTGCATACCATATCTGTACATGATTTCATTTTTATAATTTTATTGTGTGGGTGGCATGGACATCTCATGTATTCTAGCTATGACCTATTCATTGATACATGATACAGCCTGATACTTTTCTGACAATCATAAAAACTTTCCTTATAGTTTACTTTTAATAAATATCTTCTCTAAATTTTTGAGAAATTCAACAAAAATCTCTCTTTCGTCATTGTCTCAATGGAAAACGTTAGATTGATGCACTGGTTTTTTCCAAATATTCATTCTACCCTTTTATAAATTATTTTACATACAAAATGATTGAAATAATCCCATTTTAATTCAACAAAAAAAAACATATTTCAGTAATTTTGAATGTAAAATAATTTATAAAAGGGTAAAATGGGTATTTGAAAAAAACTGGTGCATCAATCTAATGTTTTTAGTCTGAAACAGTGATGGAAGAAAGGTTTTTGTTGAGTTTTTCAAAAATTCAGAGGTATTTGTTAAAATGAAACTTCAAGGAAGATTTTTATGATTGTGAGAAACTTTAGAGGAGGTTTTTGTATTTTATTCTTTTTTTATTTTTACCTAGGCTGGGCTAGTCAATCATATATGATAGACCATGCATGCCATGAGCGAGCACATGATGATGATGATGATAATGCAGATGGCAGACGTCCTCATTTTCTTCTTTTGGTACAATGTATTCATGGCATCGCACTAGCCATTCAATTATGATTCGATGGGTGACCCACTCGATTACTGAATGCTGATTGCTGATATAGCTATTGTCCTGGGCCCTTCAGGCAATAATGGAACACGGAACACCCCCGTCCCCCTAGTTTATCTGTACCACTTAGAAAGGGCAGAGAAGGCCCCAAGTTAGGCTTGAAGCTTACCGGTCATTCCAAGTGAGAAAGTGAACACCTTGTGGGTATAGGGACAAGGATTTGGGATGGAGAATGAAATCCCTACCCCCTTCAACCCAAAATTATATATATATATATATTAAATATTAAAATATATTTAAATGTTATTTATACTTTAAAATTTTTATTTATTTTAAATAAATTTATTTTTTAAAAAATACTATTGACTAAAAAATTTCAGGTTTTCGGTTCCTACAGAAAACCTGTTCCCATCGAAGATCGGGAATGGAGAATAACTTTTACCCGGATGGATATCAAGGTGGGGAATGGGGTTTTATTCCAAAATCGGAGTCGGGGACAAGGATTATGATCCCCACCCTGAACCCGTCCCTTTACCCTTCCTACTTATTAGTAGGCTGTGGGCATTGGGCTGTGTTTAATTTGATAGAAAATAAGAGAGAGAAAGTTGTGAAGGGACATCAAACCTTGTTTTTTGCCACATGATTAGCGGAGGAAGCAAATTGCATCACCATGAAGTTCTGAGCCCTTTTACAAAGCTTAAAGTGTTGAAGTTAAACAATAGAGCGCTTTAGTCTAAATCTACCATATATACCCGGTTCTTTTACATCTTATACGAGTTCTCAACCCCTCACAAGGCACAAGTCATGACATCTCCTTGGGTTAACGTTAAAGTTAAAACATTGGGGGCTCCAGGTGGTGCATCAGGTATGAGATGTGGGGATGTACTTGGGACGCAGTCTACTAAGCGTCTCTCTATACTCTACACCCATCCCCTCGTGAGAGAATACTTCGTCCCATATCTTGCGGAGATCTGTTCAGGAAGAAGTTGGCAAGCATGTTAGACTGAATCATTTACTAATTTATCCGCCAGAATTAAGAACATCATGCATCTCCCTATCAAGGTGAAATAAATAATAAAAAAAATTCAATCAATAAAGCTAACTCAATTCTTTTTGTTCTTACTTCTTTCTAATCAGTGGCATCCAGCCTGATATTTGAATAGAATATTTAAACCATATCTCTTATTATTATATTCACAAAGTTATCCTCTACTGCAGCCAAGTATTCCACCATGCCTTTTTTTTTCCTATTCTAGGCAACTTTTAAATCTGCATTAAACACCTTGTGGTTCATTTAATCTCCATTCTTCGTGGGGGAAAGGCCAGATTTATCTCCAATGTAAGCTCAATAAGATTCGGATCCGGTGAGCTAGAATCATTTTCTTTTTGGCCTATTTTCAGTCACCCTCAGATTTTTTTATTGCTTTCTCGAATGTATCTACCGCCCCCCCCGGGGGTGAATTGTGATAAACTTCCCCACTTTTTGAACTGTAAAAACGCATTAGGATTTCTAAGGTGGACTGAACAATAAAAATCCCTTTCTTTTTTGTACTACAAACTCCAGTGTCATTCACATCACCACCCTCTCACCTGTCCATTACAGCATATTAAGGAACCACAAAATTGAAGCACAGCTGATTTCTCATATTAAATTGAAGCACAGCTATTTTTTTTTCTTTCTCTAAGGTAAACACTCCCAAACAACAACTACAAAATTAAGCTACGATTAGAAAAATATTAAGGAACCAGAACCAAACCAAACCCGATAGGGTCTGGAATTTAGACCCAGAACTGAACCGATTGGTTCTCAGGACAATAGGGTCTGACCTGATAGACCCAATTATAATAAACCTGCTGAGAATATGCTCTGAGTTGGTTCTGGATTGGGTAGAACCAGTTCCGAACCAATAATAATCGGGAAAATATATCAGGAACCGGAACCAACCCATCAGTACCAGATCCTGGAACCAAAACCAGCCCAATCAGTTCGGGTCCATCAAGTCAAGTTGGACCTGACCAATTGACAGCCCTAGCTAGACCATTGAGGTTTATGTAGTCTATTATGGGTAGAGCTCAGTCATAATCATATAAATTGGGAATTAGAAAGCTAACAGGGAGAAAAATTATCATCATTATCATCATCATCCATGCCTTATCCCAACTTATATGGGGTTGGCAACATGAATCCTGTTTTGCCAACCTGTTCTATTTGAACTTTGAAGTCATATCCACTGTTAAATTATTAGTGTTTAAATCATTTCTTACTACTTTTCCTCATAGACTATCCCTGGCTCTTCTATCCCCTTCCACTAGGGGTAATCATGGGCCGGGCCGGGCCGGGCCCAGGCCGGGCTTTGCACTTATGATAAGGGCAATAGCTTAGGCCCGAGCCCGGCTCGGCCCGGGGTTCCAGGCCTGAAACTTAAGCCCTAGCCCAGGTCTATATGGGCTCGGGCCGGGCCTGGTTCTGGGCCAATGTCTTTTATATATATAAAACATTACATATCTATAATATTTTATATTAAATGACATAACATGCATATAAACTTATTTTCTACATTATATAATATAAAATATTACATATAATATAAATTATACATGTCATGTTATAATATTTATATATAATATAATGTAAAATAACTTGTATACATCATATACAAAATGTGTAAGTTCAAATATATGCAGGCCGGGCCGGGCTTGATGTATTAAGTTCAAGCCTGGCCCTAAAATTTGCGGGCCTGATGTAGGCCCGGGCCCGAGCCCAGGCCGGGCTGAAATGATCACCCCTGCCTTCCACTTGTAACAATCACTTCTTCTAACTGGAGCTGTTGTCATTCTTCTGTGCATGTAACCAAACCATCTTAGTATACTATCTCCCATTTTATCACTTGTTGGAGCTCCTAGATTTATACGGATGGCTTCATTCTTGATCCTATTCTTTCTAGTTTTTCTACTCATCTATCTTACCATTCACATTTCTGCCACTCCTTTTTTAAACATGTTGTTTCTTGACTGCCCCACACTCTGCTCCATACAACATAGCTGGTCTTAACTGTTTTACAGAATTTTCCTTTATACCAAGAATACATGTTTGACACAGCGTAGAGGTCAGGCCACACCGCCACACATCTCCCCTTTCTAGGCTATTAATCATTAATAAATTTTTTTCCCTTTTGTTTAAAGAAATGTTTGACACAGTGTATGACTATAAAATAAGATAAGAAAAAATTCCACCTAGGGCTGTTTTAACTTGCTGATAAATCTGGACTAGGTCAATACTTTTATATCGTTTGAACCATACCTCAAACAGAGCAGCATTGTGCAAAAAGAACACCACTGCTGCTGCCTGAATGAGATATTGACTTCTGAAGGGAAAATGGACAAACGTAACACCACACAATGTATCATATTAAACTACTTGATTGTAATTACTACTCATACATTGTGGGAAATAATAGACTAAAGTTTTGTATGTGCAGGAATTCTGAGAAATCTAAAAGACAACAACATATCTTGACAAAAAGGAGCACGTGTTAACTTGTTACAATCTGATATTAAATTCTGGTAAACCAATATTAGCTCAATCTCTCTCTCTCTCAATATAATTTACTTCTCAATTATTTTATTTTCATTTTCATCTCAGTAAAGTGCTGACTTGAGACTTACCTTCTTTTATGGGTTAATTGATGCTTACATTGAAATATGTTTATGTAATCATGAATGCATGGCATACATGTTTGCATTTATAAAACTTTTTTTTTTTTTAATCAGCACGTTTATAAAGCATATTTTTGCAATACAATGGCACTGTAAATAAAATGTCAAATTTTTTGTATGTGCAATTGCATGCATTAAATGTATTAGAATATCTACGCTTCTACACAACCTACCATCCCTCTCCAAGGCAGAGAGACACATAATTATCATGCTGAATCGTGAGATCTTGGTCAAATTATCCAAAAAACTGACTGCTAGATCTGTTTCCTCCCTGGAAAGCAATGGGAAAAATTAAAATTTGATCAAAGAGATTCAACTATAGATGAGAATAATCTGAACAAAACTATTAGAAAAGAAGTAATTTCTCAACTTACATGATAAACGTGGCTATGCAGCTAACAACGTCAACCAATATTTGAGCAGACAATGCATTTTTGAACAGTTGTGGTAAGGTAGGTGGTGATATAACCTTTACATTCCAAAGTATCAATCAGTTGCAACATAAATGAACAGAAGGGACTATGACATTCCAAGTGCAGCTTGCATCAGCAAGATGGACATATTCAATATTTCTATTTGCCAATGGCCAATGTGTTATGTGTCTGCATGCTCATTGAATAAACCTATAATCAATGGATGACATCTTGGATGATTACTATCCCCTCCACCACGTTATAACTAAAAAAGGTTTTAACCTTTGACCACCAAAAAAACAGGAGGAAACTGATTTGGTATATCATCTAATCAATTTTTGGCCTCTGAGGTCCATCAAGTATAGAATCTGGCTCAGTTGACTTGCAGATGGGGAACAAAGGCAGAAATCTTGTTAACGATACAATAAGCCACCTCCTCTTGAAGGTTTTCTGATATTAAACTTTGATGGGAGCAGTCAAGGCAACCCAGGTCCTTCGGGAATTGGAGGAGTCATAAGAGATAAGGAAGGGTTTATACTAGCACTTTACTCAGGACTGGTGGCGGTTGGAGACTTTAAAGGCCAAACTGTTTGCAGTTTTACAAGGTGTTCAGATTGCAGAAGACATGAATTTGGAGAACTTGGTGATTGAAGGGGACTCCAAGGTGGTTGTAGGTTGGCTAAGAAATCCAGACTCAGTGGCTTGGTGTTATAGAAATGAAATGAAGAAGTTCCAGTGGTTAACACAGAAGATGAATCTAAGTATACAATGGGTGGGAAGGGAGGCAAATGCATTGGCTGATGCATTAGCAAAGCAAGGGGTAATTAGGGATCAGTTGTATTGGGCACAATTGTAAATACAGTGCTAGCTTTGAATTAATAGGGAGGGCTACATCTCGCGTCCTTTTGGGGATGCTTGTAACAGTACCTATCATTATTGTTTTCAATGAAATTTAATGATCTTTTTTTACTTATCAAAAAATAAATAAATGCTAGGACAGAAAATACAACTATAAAACCTTCAGCAAACGAGCTTGTAGAGCACGATCCCCAGAGAGTCCTCTCCAAGAAACCTCAAACTCGTAAGCAGACTTCGGTGGTGTAATATTTTTTACAGCTTCAGCCATGGCTCGAGAAGCTGCTCTGGAAGCTAGCTCTTGCACAGATGTTTTAAGCTCTTCCCTCTTATCAACAGCATGACTTCCCTGTTAGCTATGAAGTTAGAAGAAAACAAACAAACAACTAAATAAATGGATAACTTCCAATGAGAATGAAAGACATAAATGAAAACAAACAAGTGAAATAAATAAGCGTTTTATTTGGAAAGATTTGGCATATTAAGGACTAGGAGTTCTAAATACAAACTAAAGACTGCAGCATTATATATTTCTTACATACAGAGATTGAGGAAATAAGCATCAGATACTTTTTACAGCTATATGCTACTTTCAAATTCTATCACTTCTAACCAAGATTTTAAGTATTGTACTAGTAAATAGGTTTTGAATTTCGATGGCTCCTCTTAAAAGTCTCCCTTCTTGTTTGGGAGGCCATCCATGGCCAGATCAATACTGGTGATCTCCCTCAAAGATATAGGATTAGGTGTACTACATCTCCCTTCACTTGTTTTAAGTTTAACTTGATTATATCATCTTATGCTTGTATTGTAAAAGCGATTAACCATACTGTATTCAGTGTTTTAAAAGTGCAAGGTGCAAGGACAAATTTGTGCCCTAGGTGCAAGGCACAAGGGACAAGGTACAAGGCGAGGTGCGCACCTTTTTGAAGCAAGGCACAAAAATACAAAAAGAAAGCTAAAAAATAAAAAATATATATATATCAGAAAATTCAAAAAAATGTAAAAAAATATAAACTTAAATTTTAAAAATTATTGTTTTAAGAAACCTATTATCTAAAATTGAAATACATAAACATAACATGTAAAGAGTATTCAAATGAAAATTTTAAAATAAAATCAAACATATAAAACATTTTCAAGCATGCAAAACCCACAATCTCTTTTTTCCTCAATTGTATTACTTCAAATAGCTAATGTGATGTAAAACATATTACATTACGCTCCGATTCGCTCGCTTCGCTCACTCACCAAAGCTCCAAGAACCCCCTGTTTGCTAATGTTTCTCATTCATTTGTTCTAATAAAATATCTTCTTAAAAAGCACTTAAAATTATAAAAACATTATTTTTTTTGTGTGACTAAGAATTTAGGACCCTAACATGGCCTTGTTAGGGTGATCAAGAGGCACTATTCAAAAAAAGCAAAAAGGCGTAAATTTTTCAAAAGGTGCAAGGCGCATCAGGTGCACACCTAGGCGCACCAGGCATGCACGTTTTGAAAGTGCTGCGCCTAGGACCTGGGTGATGCACCTACCCTAAAATGTGCCTCGCCTGTGCGCCTAGGCACACCTTTTAAATCACTGACTGTATTAAAAACCCATACAGTGGATGCTGATTGAAAATGAGATAAAATCAATCAATCAACATCATCCAAGCCTCCAACAATATGGGGTTGGCTACATGAATCCTGTTCTACCATTCTGTCCTGTTTGGTACCATATCCATTGTTAAGTTGTGGCCCTTAAATCATTTCCACTACTTCTATCCATGTCCTTATTGGCCTGCCACTTAGCTCTTCTAGCCCCTTGAACTTGTAATAGATCACTTACTGGTGCTGTAAATGGCCTTCCCTACATGTAGCCAAACCATCTCAGTCTACTTTCCTTTATTTTATGATACGTATTGGAGTTACTCCTACTCCTAGATTCATTTGAATAAGTTCATTTCTCATCCTCTGTTCTAGTTTTTTTTTTTTTTCCTTTTCTGAATAAAGGTTTCAATACATGCTTTTAGGTTTTGACAAAGTTCTAAAAGAAACAGTATAATCTTATATATATGATCCATGCAGTGCTGTAAGATGTAGACTGGACTGCCAGACCTGGGAGCCAGAGGCCAACCTAGTTTTTTAATACCCTGGTTTTCCAGATTTCTGGAAAACTGATCAAATTGGTCAAAACCTGGCAGAACCGTTGAAAATCAGCCAGGTTTCAATAAAACCAGCCAGTTTTCACAACCCGCCTGGGCCACTAAATTGTTAGTGTACCCAAAATGCTAGGATAAAGATTTTAATTTGAAACCTTGCCTCTTAGACAAGTGATATAATTCACAAAACATATTACTTGTATTGTTTTTTGACTCATGGTTGAACCATTTGACCTGCAACCCGGCAACCTTTTCAGTTCTGTGTCCAGTCTGAGTCTTACAACATCGGATCCATAATATAGTTTGGTTCTATTCAATTTTATCTATAATTTACTATGCATTTAAAAATTTTAGAGCATTATTTTGGTTGACACCCAATGTAGTACTACACATGCATATAGAGACCATGGGTTTTTTCAGGATGTAGAAAGATTATATGTTCCCTGATCACTGTCTTATTGTGCAGGGCTTTGTATTTATTTGTTTTCCTTATTAATGAAATCATAATCATCATCATCCCTGCCTTTTCTCAAAAAAAAAAAAATGCATATGGAGCCAATGGGCTTGAGGCTCGAAGGATTTTGAAAGGAAAGAAAATGGTAAATGACATCATACCATATCCAGTCTCTACTAAGAACAGAAGCTGTTAAATCACTTAGAATGACCTGACATTTAAAGTGTTGGTCCATTACTAGGTAAAGATCAACAGGAAAATAAGGAGATATCTATGAAGGATGGAAACTGGAAAGGACAAATAAATCTGCAATGGTTCTAGTATCTTAAAGATATAATGAAACCTCAAGGAAAGAATTTCATGACAAGAACTTAAGACCTTAAAAGTGTCTGCACTAGACTTCAAGGTTGCATCTTCTTGAGATCCATCTGATTCTTTTATCCAACTTCTGGTCCCACCTACTGTAGTCTTACTCTTTATTTCCTGGACAATGATTGATGGCTTGCTAGGAAATTTTCCATCAGTTCCCTGAAAAGGAAGCTTAGCATATCAGGGGAAAAAACTAAAGAAAGAATGTAACTAATTGTACTTCTGAATAAATACTAAATTCTTACTTGCAATTCCAAGGACAATATTTGTTCTAATTTAGAGAAAACAACAAAATAGAATTAAAATTGAGTCATTTTCTTTACCCACATTACCATAAATTGTTTTTCCTTCAATATGCTATAAATGGAAAACCATTAGCAAGATATCCGGCACCTCAAACAAAGATCCCAAATATTTAATTACCTTCATACGATCCACTTGAGCTGCAGTCTCTCCTTGAATGGCATTTCTTGCTATTCCAGAGGCCTTCTTAAGAATCTCCTGGACAGGATGTTACAAAATAGCATATTAATGAATAATTTCAACAAATAAAACTCTGTGTTTTAAAAGTGCAAGGCGCAAAAAAGGCATAGGGGTCAATTTGCGCCAGAGGCGCAAGGCGAGGCGCACGTGCCTTTCTAAGCAAGGCGCAAAAATAAAAAAAAATGCTAAAAAATAAAAAAATGTCAAAAAATGCAAAAAAATATTAAACATAATATTAATAAAATATAAACTTAAAATTTAAAATAAATGTTTTAAAAAACCATCTAAAATTAAAATACATAAACAAAACATGTAAAGCATGTTCAAATGAGAATTTAAAAATAAAATCAAACATATAAAACCCATAATCTCTTTTTTTCTCAATTACATTACTTCAAGTAGCTAAGGTGACAAATTACATTCCTGATTCTACAAGCCGCCTTTGTGCCACATCCCTCTTCAAGAACCCCCTTTTTGGTAATGTTGTTCATTCATTCATCCTAATAAAATATCTTCTTAAAAAGCAATTAAAACTATAAAATCATTATTTTCTGTGTGAGAACTAAGAATTTAAGACCCTAACATGGACTTGTTTGGGCTTGCTATGAGAGGCATGGCATGGGGGTCCGGGGGGCGGAGCCCCCGGCCCAACCGCTAGACTAAAAAAAAAGCAAAAGATAATCAAATTTTCAAAAGGCGTGTGCCTAGGACTTGGGCGAGGCACCTACCCTAAAATGCGCCTCACCTGTGCGTCTAGGCACGCCTTTTAAATCACTGATAAAACTGATAATCAGATTAATCAGAATGAAATGAAAAGTTAGGCATAAAAGCCACAGTTCAAGAACAAAATAATAATACCAACTATCACCCATCACAACAGCAGAATATTTTTTCTGATAGCATGAGAGTCCTAACTATTAAAAAATTAAAACAAAAACTATGAACCCTTAGCTTAGTAGAACAGGGGAGGCTGAATAAAGATGAATGTAGAACTACCATTTTCTATCCAATATACCTAATCCCATATATATAGCTTCAATCAACTAATGGACAACTCAATGCACAAGGCTCCAACCAATGTAGTGCCTGGGGCTATACAGCCAATGCGGGTCACCCAGGCCACAATGGAGCAACCCAACCATTGCACCAAGGCTCACCCTCTACTTCAATCAACTAATGCCCCATGCAAAGGATAGGTGCACTTTTCATTTTGACAATTCTGCACTATCTGCCTCCATTGGAAAAGCTTGCAAAAGAACATTGGTTTCTTTTCTCCCACCACTTCTAATTAGGGGTGTTCAATTGTTCATGGCCCGATTCGGTGCAATTTGGAGAAGATCTCAGACCAAACCGGTAAATTATGGTTTGAGAAATTTCTAAACCGAACCAAACTATTTTATTACGGTTTGGTGCGGTTTCAAATACGGTTTGAGGACTTTGGACCATTCTATGATTCTTTCGGGCTTAACCCAATTAGAAAGCCCAAATAGCTCCCCTAAAAATTAAAACTTAAAACTTTTATTTATTATTTTATTATAAAATAAAGAGTTCATTATATATTTATAATTTTACAAATTTAATTTAGATATATTATATATATAATTTCGGTTTACAGTTTATGGTTTTGTTTGGTTTATAAAATTCAATAAACCAAACCGAAACCATAAACTGTTATTTAGAAAATTCTCAAACCGAACCAAACCATTTATTATAAACCAAAGCAAATCAAACCGCAAATTTGGTTTGGTTCAGTCCGGTTTTGCGGTTTGAACCGTATAATGAACACCCCTACTTCTAATGGTCCTTGATTTTGTTCTTTTTTTTATAAAGGGTGTATGATTGCATTACTATAGAAAAGAAAAGAGAGCAAGACACCTTCCAAAAATAAAAACATATACAATGGCTGTTATGCGCTAATAGCCCCAAAAAATTCCAACCTCTATACATGTATCCACAAACTCCTAAATTTTATTCCATATTCCCATGAAGTCAAGAAGCAAACACCCAAAAGATCTAGACTAGTTGCAATGCCATGTTAACATTAATATCCAATGGCTTAAGCTGTAGAAAAAAGATGGAGGAGGACCAAGAGGTATAGTGCCCTTTCTTATTTTTAAATAGTAACAAGATCAAAGAGACTTTATTCAAGAAAAAAACAAATACAAAAAAGAGAAACTACCATAGCACAAGAGAAAAAAAGACCAGAATATGAGATTATATCACCCCCCATTGCAATTAGGGGTGCAACTTGGCAGGCCCAACCTCAGTTTTGGACCGATCCTTCCCACAATTTTACACAGATTGGGCTTGGATTCTCAGTCCTGGGTAAGGGTGTCAATGGACCGGTTTTGGATTGGACCCCGTCCTGTCCAAAATCAATTTGGACGGATTGGATGGACCAACAAGACATATTGGATTGGATTAAGCCAATATCCGGTCCATTGATACAAGATAAGAATATAGGTGTCAATGGACCGGGTTTGGGTTGAAACCAATCTAAATCAAAATGAATTTGAACAGATTGGACAGTCCAAACATTGAATTGGACCGGTCCAAATTGGTCCAAAATATTCTTTGGATTGGATTGGACCTAGTCCATTTATAATGGACTCACACTGGACTGGATCAGATTGGACCAAATCCAGTCCAATTGACACCCCTAGTCCTTGGGCTGGGCCTAGCTTAAAACCCCAGGCTTCCTTGGACCTAGGCTTAGCCCTTAGGTAGCCGAAGCCCAGCCCGAGATCAACATGGTCTTAGTCCAACCCAAGCCTGACCCAACTACATACATACATTCACACATCACACATGCATATCTACCTATCTATCTATCTATTATATATATATAATTCATATTTAATGGTTTAAATTATTGATGCTTAATAGGTCTAGGGCAATTTCTTTAATACATCGACCAAACTGAGCCAGCGACGGCCCAAGCCCTATCAAGTGTCAAATTTCAGTCTGGAATGGGCCTAGGCTGGACAGATTAGGCTTGACCTCAAACTTGGTCCTGGTTTTGGCCTTTAGCCAATACTCAGAGTTGGGCCTGGGCTGACCTTTAACTCAACCAAACAGACCCATGTTGCACCCCTAATTGCAATAATATTAGGGGTCTAAATCACAATATTTCATCCCCAAATAGTCAAATACTCCTGGTCCAATTCCTTCTAGCTAAAGAATCAGCAAAAGTAAACTGATCTTTGGACCAATTTGAACATGAACCCAGAAACCAAGCCTCCATAATGACATGAATGATCCATAGACCATTTCCCTCTTCTCAAACCTAAATAATAGTATACCAATTGTGAATCCCCATCCAACTCAAATCCTCAACCCTGTTACAGCTAGGCGTAACATCAGTCTCAACCTGTAGAAGGGAAAATTTTCATCCTGAATGGAATATCCTCTGCCTGTAAGCCATGAGTAAAACCAACAAAATCTCCCCATCATATCCTTCAAAAGCATCTCCAACACCTAATGGACCTGAATTTCCAAGGTGCATCCATCAATATTTAGCTTAACTGATCCTTAGGAAGGGGGGGG